TCTTCTGAATAGGACCTTTGTGTTGTAAGCTTGTCTTGAGATGGGGCAAAGGAGCTTACATATAGCCTATTAGTTGGTCGACAAATGGGGTTACTCCCCTCTTTTTAGAGTGTCTCAATGGCCATATGGAAGGATTTTCAGCTAACCTTCCATAGATAATGACGATGTTCATAATAGCTAAATGCCATGCTATCTAACACATTTTTTTCCTAAGTCTAAGAAAAGAAAAGTAGTTCACTCTAGAGATGAGATTGGTAACCAGTAGATTCGTAACGCCAGAAACATGTGAACCACCTCCATTGAACCTAGAGTGGGCCCATGAATAACTAGATAACCGCTCGACACTTTCAAGTATTCTAATACTTAGATATAAGTAGAGATTAGGCTCAAACTTTCAAGTACCCTAATGTACATCTACTAGATTATAGATGTGATGAGAGCCTACTAATAGTTTACGGTGAGAGTTTTCACTCACTTGCTTTACTTCTCTTTAAATCTTTTTTCTCTCTCTATTCTTTTCTTCCTTAATTAATTTTAGGGTGATTACATACTCTCTAATTAATTAGAAGTGGCAGCCTAAAATTTAATAAAACCTTTCCAACAAACCCATGAACTTGTGGGTTCAATTTTAAAACAAGAAATACAAATAACAACATGGTCATAACAAAACATTAACATAAATCCTAGTATGAAAATAGAAAACCTATACTATCAATGAACTACTAAGAAAAAACAATGCAAACTACTCTCCTATTTTAGCTCAGCATCTATGGTCATTCAAGCATCACCGTCATTCATGTATGGACACTTTACTTTTATCTAAAATATAAAGGTAGCACGTGGCTTAAGTATTTTAAGAAATATTAATTTAGTAACCTTACTGTTAGGGACAAGTAATGCAAGCACACACATACATGAAGGGGTCTATCCTTTAAAACAACAACATGACTTTGAGCTCTTTTCAGTCCGAGCAAGATTGGATGTGTGGTACTTCCCCGCACACGGCCCACGTACGCACATATGGACCTACCAAGGGGGCTCATATACATATTCCTTGAGTTTGACTCATCAAGCTAAACGCCTTGATGCGTCGCTAGCCACCATGGAGGAAAAGGCCCACATGATATTATGACGAACATAGATATCGAAGGTACGAGTCTATACTGACATAACATAATGGAAAAGTATTTCGATACACATGACATACATAAATGTATAAGGTCCCCATGACTTAAAATCATAGAATATAATAAGAATAATTTGGTTCTTCTTTTCATTCATGGCATAGTACACGTATGAGTCATGTATGCATAGTACTGATCATGACTTTTAACATACATCACCATTAAATCTGTATGGCTTATATCATGACTTTACATGGTGTAATAGAACATCTCATACATTTATAACATGACATAACATAACATACATAACATTTCATATTGTACATATCATGTGGCATAATAGAACATCACATACATTTATAACATAAAATCATAGGTCATCACATAACATACATAGCATAGCGTAACATTTCTAATTATGATGCATGTTGGGATCACGAGGCATGTATCATCGTACATCATACAATTCTTCCAACTAGTCTGAGACTGTCCTTTAGCGTTTGTTTCAACCTAGGTGGACCCATGACATGACATTTTTACTTACCTGTTTGACCTTAGTTGCCGCCCCTAAATATTTAAAACTAGTCTGAGACTATCCTTCAGCATTTGTTTCAACTTAGGTGGACCCATGACATCATATTAGAAATATTTTAATGAGATTCACTTGCTTAATTCTCAAATAATTTTCGAATTCTAGCTCAAGATAGTTTAAATTGAGCAATTGGGGATTATACTGACCTTATATTTGTGCGATAAAGCCAAAATCAGTTCTGAAAGTGATAAGGCAGCCCTAATTCTCAACTCAACGATCCACACTTATGTTGAAGTAAGAACCCTTGAATCAAATAAATTAACACCTCCTTATACAAAATTCGGATCAACCCAGAGATAAGGTTAGAATTAGATTACCTCTCAAGATAAAAAATCTGGAAGCAAGATTTGGAATCTTGTTCTAAATTGAGTCACTCCATAAACGAGCGTGATCAAGATTTAATTGAATGACTCAGATGCAATTTACTACAAGAATTGCTTCAAACTTAGAAATGACAAGAATGATGTTCAAATTTCTAAGGGTATTTGTAGTCTCTTCACAAAACAAACTCCCAACTCTTCAAATACTCACTAGATAAGATAGTGGCCATAATTCACTCTCACTCGTTGAAATCTCCACAAAAAAAAAAAAAAAAAAAAGAAGTTATAGCCACTTTGACGAGTAACTTTCCACCCTTTTGCACACCGTAAGAAATTATGAAATTAAAATAATAAATAAAGTTTTCTAACAAATTAGAGTGCAATTTATAGCAACTACATTTGCTACTTCAACCATGCAAATATTCACTTCTGAATCTCCATGGTTCTTCCTCAATTGAATCAACTTGTAACACATGAAATAATGGTTGAACCGATCCTATCCAATTTTTTAGATGAAGAATGAATGCTTGCTGAATATTCTTCGCCTTAGATCGTGTAATAGGTCCAGTTGGAACATTTGGAACACCTTGATCCTTATCATCTGCCCCATCTTCAAAAGGATTCGTTCTCAAATCAGAAAAATCACCACCTACATCAAAAGGACTCAAGTCAAATGTACTGAAAATCCTTGAAGTAGATCAATTTTATAGGCAATGTTATTAATTCTTTCAAAAACTTAAAAGGTCCTCCCCTCTCGGATGTAACTTTGTCTTCCTTTAAGATGGAAATCGCTCCTTGCGAAAATGTATCCAAACCCAGTCACCAGGTTGAAAAATGATTTCCTTCCGTTCTTTGTTAATTCTTGAAGCAACTTTAAAATTTTGTTTCTCATTTCTCTCGTTCATTTCTTTGTGCAATGTTTTGATCAAATCTGCCTTACTTGTGGTTGCTTCACTCACAACAATATTAGAAGGAATACGAAGCAAATCAAGAGGCGTAAGTGGTTTAAATCTACAAATAACTTCCAAAGAGCACAATAAGTGGTACTATGAATTACTCTATTATATGCAAACCTTACAAATGACAAACATTCGTCCCAAAACATTTTGCTTATACTTAGCTTTAATTCATGAGATTCCTTCCTAAATATGATTTTTTTTTTCTTTTTATGGATTTTCAAGTATATCCCTATGGATTAAACTTAATCTTTCATAAACTATTCAAATGACACGATCAACCATTTCAAGATATTGAATATGATATCAATATAAGTATAGCTTAACTGGTTTAGAAATATGTTTTATTCTAGAGAGATTAGATGTTCATTCGAATCTCCCAATCTTAAAGTAAACAAAAAAAAAAAAAAAAAATTGATGAGTTATATTGGATAAGAGGAGAAGTAGACAACAAAGACACTTAAAAGTGATGATCTTCAAGAGTTGATGCTTATCATGTTATTATCATTTTCATTGCCCCCAAAATTCTCCGTGCAAACAAATGTTTCGAGAAAATGGAAGTGATTGATCTTCATACATTAAATGCTTATTTTGTTATATCGTTTTACAAATATTCTATATGAAAACAAATGTGCCTTATTATTTGATTTATATTCCAATAGGCATCCATGTGATTTTTTTTTTTTAAGAAAGTTAAAAAGAATTTATTCCTTCCTGTAATTGAGACTTAAAATTTTTTTTATTTTATTAAAACTTACAAATTTACCAAACACAAAATTGAAAGATTAGATTTCATTAGACAAAAAAAAATTTAAGTTTATATCTAATACATAAATTAACTTCAAGAAGCTAATAGACATAAAAATGAAAGTTTAGGAACCTATTAAATACTTTTAAAAACTTAAAACCTAAATAAACACGAGATTAGAGTATAAACTTATAACTTAACTTTTTTTTTTTCTTTTATTTTCCTTGTACTCTCTAGCTTGTCCAAATTTAATTTGTTCTCCTGTCACTAAGATACATAAGAAATTTACTAAATTTTTTAAAGATGCAAACAGAGTCATAGACTAAGAAAGAGAGAGATCTATGATATATATATGATACGAAATAACCCAAGCTATCTTAAACTACATCAAGTGACCTTTAGATTACTTTTAGGATAGGTTACAAACTTTATGTTAGCTTATTAGAATATTAATTCTCGAATTTAAGGAGGTTTTATTATATTTTTTTTAGTTTTAGAGAATAATTTTTAAAGTTTTAAGTTGATTGTTATAAGTATTATAGACATAAGATTTACAACATTTCAATTGACCTTAGGTTAAGCCATAAACTAGTTTCTTTACCTTTCTTGTATTTAGATAATTCAAATTAGAAACAACTTTCTTTTTTACAATTGATCTTGATCATCAAGTTTTTCTTATCGTTTTGCAGTTTTTGCATATTTGAGATCTCAAAGTTTTGTTAAAGGTTTTTAAATCAAATTTCAAGAATTTCATATCAATATATGTAACAACCCAACTTTCTAAGATATCTATCTATGGTTATGACTAAAAGGTAACTATTTAGAATAAGGTAATTATCTCTATTGGTATGAAATTTTTGAAGTGGTTCCAAAAACAAAGCAATAAGACCATATGTCGAAAGTGAATCATATATGCTTACATAGATTCTCTTTGGTATCATAGTCATAGTTAGCTTCATCGGTGATATGCTGAGATTTTGAACAAAATAAACGAGCTTTGTGAGTTAGTCCCTAGATTGGACTTAAAGAAAGAAAAAGGAAAAAATAAATAAAAAAGGTGCTTGAGATACCATAAATAAATAGATCTATCGAATAATATGTATTTGATATAAAGAGCAAGAAGGCGTGTGGGGCAATTTTCATTTGCGTAATCAATACGCAAGCTACGTGGTCCTCCTTCCCTTTTATTTTCATCCACAAATCTGTGGATAATGGTTGAAGGATCCTTATAATACCGCGTATTCACAGAACCATATTTAGACTTTCATCTATCTTTCTGGAATAGTCTCAAGCAACCTTCATGGCCTCGACCTTGAGCGAATCCTCGAGAATACCCACAAACCCTTCAAGGGTTGTGTTGATAACTGGCGTGAGCAAAGGTTTGGGGAGAGCCCTAGCCTTGGAGTTAGCTAACCGTGGTCACACCATAATTGGCTGTTCACGTGACCAACCTAAGCTTGATTCCCTTCGTCAGCAACTTTCTTCCAATAACCACTTGCTCTTCAATGCTAACGTGGTAAGCAAATGCTCTAACCCCACGTCCTAAGTTCTTAGAAAAGTGACTCAAAAGGTTTGTTTTGCAGAGATCAAACGATAGTGTTGAAGAACTAGCAAGAGGGGTTGTCCAAAACAAACTTGTACCCGATATCATTGGTATTCCTCTCCCTTTTTTCATATAATTTCTTACTTGAACCAATTTTTGAGAAACTAAACACTTTTTTCTTGATTATTGATAGTGAATAATGCAGGTGTTGCTAATAGAATTGGGAATGCATGGGAGGTGGAGGTCGAAGAATTTGATAATGTTATAGATACCAATGTGAAAGGGATAGCAAACGTTTTGCGCCATTTCATTCCTCTTATGATTCCAAACAAGCATGGAATAATCATTAACATGTCTTCAATAGCGGGAAGAACTGGAATTGCACATGTATGTCATTTATATTTAAAGTTTTATGGAAAGATTATTAGTGTTGACTTAGTAAAATAATTATTAATTTAAGATCAGAGAAATAGTTAGTGATTAGTTAGTGATTTATTTGAGAGAAGGAGAAATTTAGGAAAATAGTTAATGATTTATTTTTAGGAGAATTGTCGGTAGTTTTATCTCGAGGAAAGTTAAATTTGTTAGTATTTTCTATAAATACTTGTATGGTCTATTCATTCACAACAACCCATAGAATTGAAAGGTCCTGTGTTCTAAGAAACTCTCTCAAGTTGTTGTTTCAGCATATTTCAATGATAGGTCATATCCAACCTTTGGTATTAGAGCTAGGAAGCGAAAATAAATGCCAGTCACCTTACAAAGTTGTCGGAGGAGATATGACGATTATAAAAAGCAGAAAGTAGGGGAATGTAACACTCCTATACCCGATACTCACGAAGAGTAACTACGCAACATGGTCGATAAAGATGCGTGTTAACTTATAGGGACAAGTCGTGTGGGATGCCATGGAGCATGGTGATGACGTTGATGAGCCTAAGAATAGGATGACTCTTGTCGCCATCTACCAAGTAGTCCTGGAGGATATCTTTCTCATGTTGGCAGAGAAGGACTCGTCAAAGAAAGCATGAGAGACGCTGCAAACAATGCATGTGGGAGTGAAACATATCAAGGAAGCAAAGGTGCAAACCTTGAAAAGTGGGTTCGAGTCTATCTGCATGAAGGAGGGTGAATCAGTAGACTCCTTTACTATGAAGTTGTCGACGATCGTCATCCATTCATTAGGCGACAAGGTGGAGGAGATCTCCATCGTCAAGAAGTTCCTTGAAGTTATTCTCCCGAGATTCATGCAGATTGTTAGCTCTATCGAGCAGTTTAACGACCTCAAGAATATGACGGTTGAGGAGGTCCTTAATTATCTTAAGGTTCATGAGGAGAGACATCGTTGCTACGAAAACAAAGGAGAGGAGAAATTCCTCTTACTCACACATGAGGAGTTGCTCGCATGGACAAAAAAGAAAGATGTAATTGACTCTTATTTTTTAGGTACAAGGGGACATGACAGCTATAACAAGGAAAATAAAGGTCATGGACGTGGTCGCGGACATGGCCGCAGACGTGGTAACAAAGGAGGTCATGACAATACCTCACAAATCCATGACAATGCCAACCTTGGGAGGACAAGAGTATGATCAAATACAGGCATTATGCGGTAGAGGGCCACAACAAGGAGCACGAGGAGGAGACAAACCTCACATTCACGGATGATGAAGAGCGTGCATTAATGTTGGCTGAGACAATGCCCAACTTGTTGATGCTCAATAAAGAGAAGGGATGAAGAAGACCAAATGGAGACTAACATGTGGTACCTGGGCAATGGAGTGAGCAACTACATCACTAGAGACAAAGCAAAGTTCAAGGAGCTTGATGAGAAATTCATTGGAAACATGAAGTTTTGCGATGCATCAATTGTACCGATCAAAGGCAAATGATCCATCTTGTTCTAATGTAAGAATGACGATCAACATCTATTGACCAAGGTATATTACATCTCGAGTTTGAAGAAAGTAGCAGAGTGGAGAAGAAAGTAGCAGAGTGGAGTAAGTTGGCTTGTTCCTCGAGTGGAGTAAGTTGGCTTGTTCCTCGAGTGGAGTAAGTTGGCTTGTTCCTCGAGTGGAGTAAGTTGGCTTGTTCCTCGAGTGGAGTAAGTTGGCTTGTTCCTCGAGATATTCGATAGAAATGGAGCCTTGTTGATGGAGGTAAAACAGTTGAAGAATTGCCTGTATAAGATACTATTCGAAGACCATCAACATCTTCTAAAAGTATCTATTAGCATTGGTAGTGAGAAAGGGAAGAAGAAATCAATGGGTCGGGAGAAAAAGGAATCGAAAAAACAAATCCTACAAAAAAAACTAGAGGCTACTTCAATTAGCAAAGAGTATGTTTCATCAAACTTGTCATCTCAACCAAAGAATCAACCAAGGTTAAAAAACAAAGGAATACCTTACAAGATAATGAAGTTCGTATGCAAAAGAGAGAAACGAAAGAAATTGCATGTTCAGGAATTATAATTTCTTACGAAGAAGATGGAGTTGATAAGGGATTAAGCAACGTTAATGCTATGGAGCAACATACAGATACTCTCACAAAGGTCCCAACAAGGATTAAGCTTTCGAGATATGCTGAAATTACTCAAAGTAAAGAATCTCAAACTAAATGAAGCGGAGAACGTGAGTCAATAACTTAAACATTTAGGGGAGAATGTGAGTCACTTAACCACTTAACAGGGGAGAACGTGAGTCAATAACTTAACCACTTAACAGAGGAGAACGTGAGTCAATAACTTAACCACTTAACAGGGGAGAACGTGAGTCAATAACTTAACCACTTAACAGGGGAGAACGTGAGTCAATAACTTAACCACTTAACAGGGGAGAACGTGAGTCAATAACTTAACCACTTAACAGGGGAGAACGTGAGTCAATAACTTAACCACTTAACAGGGGAGAACGGGAGTCAATAACTTAACCACTTAACAGGGGAGAACGGGAGTCAATAACTTAAACACTTAACCACTTAACAGGGGAGAACGTGAGTCAATAACTTAACCACTTAATAGGAGAGAACGTGAGTCAATAACTTAACCACTTAATAGGGAGAACGTGAGTCAATAACTTAACCACTTAATAGGGGAGAACGGGAGTCAATAACTTAAACACTTAAACACTTAGGGAAGAACGTGAGTCAATAACTTAAACACTTAAACACTTAGGGAAGAACGTGAGTCAATAACTTAACTACTTAACAGGGGAGAACGGGAGTCAATAACTTAAACACTTAGCAGCGGAGAAGTCAATAACGAATTAGTACAAATAGTTATTACTTAAATTTAGGAAAATGGTAACTGATTTAGTCGAGAGAATTGTTATAGTTGTCATCGGGAGAAAGTTTAGGAAAATAGTTGAGGGAATTGTTAGTGAGTTTAACTTAAATGAACGTTTTTTAGGGCTTTCTACCTTGTAAATACCTTCAATTGTACGCTCTATTCACAGCCACAGACAAATTTAAAAGCACATTGGTTAAGGTTTTTTTTTTTTTTTTTGAAACTCTCCCCTCAAATTATTCTATTTGATTCATTTATTTGTTTTAGTATATTTCAATGGTTGATTCATTTATTTTAGTATATTTCAATGGAATCATAATTTCACTGTATCGACAGATTGCACCGTATTGTGCATCTAAATGGGCAGTTGAGGGGTTAAGCAAATCTGTAGCAAAAGAATTGCCGGAAGGAATAGCAGTTGTGGCCTTAGATCCAGGCACCATAAACACAGACATGCTCGTTTCAGCTGCTGGCAGTGCAGCTTTAAAATATCTACCACCTGAACGTTGGTATGGATATCATCAAATCATATATAAATATATCCTTTTGTGTGAACTTATACATTCATTTTTTTTATTGTAATAAGGGCTATAAAAGCAGCGACAATGATTCTTGATATCACTACATCAGACAATGGAGCATCCCTCACAGTTAAGGATCCAACCGAGTTGGCCAACCCATAATTTCTATGCCCTTGGATGATAACTAATTTGGTAAGCATCATGGATAGAATGTTTAGATATTAGATAAATAAGAGTGATGAATGTATAAATGTGTAGAATGTAAATTTACTGATGGGTGAGTTGTAATTTGTGAGATCTTGCAGGATGTGTAGATGTATTTAGTTGTATTTACGATGCAAGTTAAATAAATTAATTGATTAAAGAGTTAATTGTAATGACCCGATGCAGGTTAAATAAATTAATTGATTAAAGAGTTAATTGAATGACCGGATGCAGGTTAAATAAATTAATTGATTAAAGAGTTAATTGAATGACCGGATGCAGGTTAAATAAATTAATTGATTAAAGAGTTAATTGAATGACCGGATACAGGTTAAATAAATTAATTGATTAAAGAGTTAATTGTAATGACCCATTTACAAGCCTTTTAATTACTTAATTACTTACTGATACATATGACTCACGTAAAAAAAGATAAAATTTCTCATTTTTAAAATAAAAGGTGACAAAAGAGAGATTAAATGATTTAAAATATAAATGCATAGATTGAATAAAACATTAGCATACCCCAACTAACCGACAATCCAAAAGTAAACATTGAAAATCAGGTTAGTTAAAATATGGTAAAATTTGGGAGGAATTAAAGTCAGATAACATTTTTGTGAAAACCAAACAAATGGTTCTAAATATTGCAGGTTTCACTTCCTATTGTATCCTTAACCAAATAGATAATCACATGCTTTAATTTAGGCTTTAGGTAATTCTGGCCTAATTTCTTCTTACCATCTGAACAAGTGGAGATGGAACGAAGTATGAAACTTACCCTTACGGGTATGTATAGGTTGTCCAACCTTTATGTTCTTTGACTTAGGTAACTTCTTTTACCTATGTTGTGGATGTTTATGTTCTTTGACTTAGGTAACTTCTTTTACCTATGTTGTGGATGTCTGATGTCTAAAGTTTAGGCGCTACATCATAATAATCTGGTGGGGTAGTATGATATGTATTAGCCTAAACATCATCCATGGGAGGTTAGTTGGCTCCCCTGCAGAACTATCTAATAACTAGTCTGGGTGATGACTCCTTAGTGATTGCCCGCTCCTGTGTTTACCTGTGTGGTTTCATGCCCTCTCTCAAAATGGGTTCTACTAGATAAGGTAGAGCATTTGGTCACTATGACATGCTACACTATCATGTTTAAACTTGACTCGACGATACCCGTACTCTTATTGATCGACGTAGTTTCTAGTTCTAGATCGATCCCGAAATTGACTTTCTTGACTGGGGCAAACTTGGAAGATCCTTACGGAAAAATATTTACGAACTCTCTAACGATGTGTACTGGTGAGACTATTTGCTTGTTACTGTTGTTTAAGGTCACGCTGGTTAAAGATGCACTTGCGCCACTATGAATCATCTTCTTGGCTTTCAGTACTATTACGACTTTTGAGGTTCTTTTGGAAGTGGCTCCCTTATAGGTAAAGTTGTCCCCTGACGGAAGGTTGAGAGTCACTATTCAAGTTTCACAATTTATCAGAGTGCGGTTCTCGCCTAGCCAATCTATACCCAAGATGACGTCGAAGTCTTACATGCTTAACACTATCAATGTAGCTTCGATGACACGTCCTAATATTGTTACACTACTATCCTTAACCCTATGGGTAACTAATAATAACCCGTGAGCAGGGGTGGACACTGATAGGGTGACCTCTAAAGGTTTCTTCTCTAGGTGTGCTAGCTCTACAAACTCCTCAGATATGAACGAATGTGTCGAAGTCGAATCAAATAACACTAAAGCCAAATGACCAAAAATGGGTAGCGTACCTGTAACAACTGCGTTCGGCTCGTCAGCTTGTCTAACTATGGTTGCTTGGGCTACAGCTCACCCCTACTAATGCCGAGCAACCCGACCTCTCTGATTATGTGTCGCAGGTCGATTGACATGCTGATCGTTCCTCTAAGGGCAATCTGCTGTAAAATGCTCTACTTAACTACATCTGTGGCATGCATCTGTTCCTGCTCTGCACTCCCCCGTGTGAGAACACCGACATCTAGGATAAATGGTTCCAATGGAGAGTTCTTAATAGATGAATATATCGGAATTTCAGAACCTGATTCATTCAATAAGAAGTCATATTTGAAGAGTTTCATTCAAGAATCTTACCTTGCAAGCTTTTGGATTTGGACGGAAATGGAGCGTCGGCCTCTCGATACTATTTGTCCTTCTAAGAAGGGGGTCCTTGTGTGTGGATTCACGGCTGAAGGTAGATTTTCAGTGGTGGTTCGACGAGTACTCCGGCTTACCCTTCCTCTCTCCAGTTTTCATTCTGTCTTTTCTTTTCTAGGTGATTTGATTGGGATCCTTGGACTTCTATAATGGGTTGAGGTTTTGCCCCTCTAACTTTGACTTAGCAGATTTTTTTTTAAGTGTTACTAACTATTGTGATATCCTACATTGGTTGGGGAGGAGAACGAAACACATTTATAAGGGTGTGGAAATCGTTCTCTGGTAGACACGTTTTAAAAACTTTGAGAGGAAGCCCAAAAGGGAAAGCCCAAAGAAACAATATCTGCTAGTATTGAGCCTGAGCCGTTACAAATGGTATCAGAGCCAGACACCAGGTGATTTACCAACGAGGAGGCTGTTCCCTGAAGAACGTAGACACGAGGCAGTGTGCCAGTAAGGACGCTGGACCTCGAAGGAGGTGAATTTAGTAGGGGTCTCACATCTATTAGAGAAAGAAACGAGTGTCAAGAAGGACGCTGGGCCCTGAAAGGGGGTGGGATTAAGATATCCCACATTTGTTGGGGAAAAGAACGAAACACCCTTTATAAGGGTGTGGAAACCTTTTCCTAGCAGACATGTTTTAAAAACCTTGAGGAGAAGCTCAAAAGGGAAAGTCCAAAGAGGACAATATCGGCTAGTGGTGGCCCTTAGGCAGAGCTTTAAAAATGTACTTTTTGTATTATCTGTATTCTCTTACTATACATATCTAAAATCATCACTATAAACCTTTAGCCAAAATTCTCACGGTATTTTCTTTCT